CAGACACCCACCAGCCCAGACCCCAACCAGACGGCCAGCTCCAACTCCTAGCCTCCAGCCCTGGGCAGCCAAACAAGGGCAGAGGTGTGATAAGACCCCTAGTCTCCGTCAGCCTGCTCCAATGTGGTGTTGATGCATGCTGTGAATGTGCATTCCGTGGTTGGGGAGGGCACAACCCCAATTCCCCCCACAACCGTCAGTGTCTAGGTGCAAATTAAAATTGGAAGTGGGCACCGGCACTTGTGGTGGTGTTTAATGTGCAAATAAATTTGGGGCACAGCAACGGGACTGCGGACATGGGAAACCCTTGACTTACACCCCAAGGTCCTATGTACATGTTTGTGGTGATGTGAAGGAGCAGGAGGAGGAAAATATCTGAAGATGGGGAGGAATGGCTGGGTAGCCTGAGCCCTCTAGGGAGCCAGCTCCCCCACTGGTCCCAATAAGCACCCCATTCCCAAAATCCACCTGAGGCATGGAGACCCCAGCCCATCTAGAAAATGCCCAAAGCTGCAGCATCACAGAGCCCGACGGAGCCCGGGCCCACCAACTCAGCCATATCCTAGCAGAATATCTACTCCCATCCCCACATCCACAAGACACCCAGGTAAAATGTGGTTCTCCCTCCCCTCCCCCGTGATGGAATGGAAGTGTTTCTGCCAGTCCAGGAGGAATCAGGATCCACCTGAGGCCCCCAAGCCAGGGCCAGACACCACTGCATGCTCCTGCCGTGTGCCGTCAGCCTACAAGCCAGGACCCAATCCGCCCCAGCACAGCTTCCTATCCGAGGACGACCACCCTTACACTCCAAGCCCCAGGCCCTCACCCAGACCCACCCAGGGGCAGCGCAGCCACCAGGCAGCGACCCAGTGGCTGCCATCAAGACCTCCCAAGGCCCCACACTCGGCCGCCAGAGGCCCACCCCCTAAGGTCAGCCAAGTACCACCAGAATGTGGCAGCAGCCCCCTGACACCATACCCCCCTACTAAACCCACCCCCGGGGAACCTACGTATGCTCCAAACCTGGACTCTCCTCTGCACTGACCACAGCATCCTGCAGGACAATATCAATCACCCTCCACCATCGCTATGTAATGGAACCAATCAAATGAGTCCAAAGAGATTGATTTGAAGTGGAGGCAGAGGTTGTCTCAAGTGTAATATAATCCAGCAAAAGATTTCTATACTGGTTAATGCAAAGATTATCTTTCTTTTTCCAGTTTATGAGGATAGTTTCCTTGCAGATGCATATGGCAGTCAGAACCACACGAATCAAATTGGTTTCAATCCAGACATCATCTAGTTTTCCTAGCAAACAAAATGAGGGGGAAGTTGGGATATGACATTTCAGACACTTTGACAAGTCATCACATACTCTACACCAGAATCCCTGAACAGGTGGACAGGACAGCAGTGCATGGATATAAATGTCTGGAGTGTTGTCTGTACAGTGTGCACACATGTCAGACGGCAAAACCTCCATCCTGAACATCCGATGGCCTGTATAATGTAATCTGTGCAGAATGTTGTATTGATTAACTAGTAAATTGGGGTTCCTGGTAATTTTAAGTTATTAAACATGCCTGAGACCTGAAATCCAAGTTAAGGCCGACTGATAGATCCACCTATTTTTCTATAGGAAATGCTATTGAATCATCTATTTTGGACAGTGTCTTATATACTTTAGACAGTAATTTGGGGTGGTTGAGATTCAAGAAGTGTAGTACTCTTGCTGGTGTTTGTAAATGCTCTTGATTGAGCTTAAAATTTGGTTCAATATTTTCTAATCTGCTTTGCCTTACGCCCCGGATCGCATATATGTTGTACTGCAATTTAAATGAAAAGTAATGAAGGGTGTTTCTACCACGCCAGTCACGTACTTTGAGATTTATCAACGTGTAAAAGTTCGTAATTACCATGACTACAAACACTGCTGGACTGACCATAGGGCATAGCGGGCAACTGCCCGCTGGGCCGACCCTTTCATCTTTTATGGGCCGGTGTCTGTTTTTTTTTTTTTCCTGGCCTCTAGTTGTTGCGGACAACTTGCCCGCGCCGCCCCACGCGACGCCTCGTAAAAGTTGGTGGATTGGCCAATTGGTAATAATACACTCTGGGCTGGACCAATAGCCAGAGGTCTGATGCACCCGCCAGTTGTTTGTGAATCTCAGTAAACAGACAGACGAGCTTAACAAAATGGAGAACAAAAAACGGAAAGGAGGAGCGGAGAAAATTCGACTAAAAAAGAAACTGGCCCTTCAGGCTGATGCTGGCACATGTGTTAAAATCTCACAGTTGTTTGGTAGTGAAGGTTCAAGTAAAATCCATTTAGGAAGTGATGGAGCCTCAGCCCAGCGACAGGTTGGAGAAGAAAAGAGGGAGGAGGAGGAGAAACCCGAGCCGGTGTTGTGCCATAAATTGACTCGCTGCCAAAAAATGATTAGCCACCGCGGGATCGCGCACGGTTAGGTAATTGCATTTCTAGACAAAATTCCCCAGGATTTCGCCCTAAAACTCAGCATATCTAGCAATATGGACATTCAGAAAGCAAAGATAACCTCTTCCGGTACTTAAACAGATGTTTATCGCGGATATTAGTGTGGCAGTGTTTGTGGCACCCTGCGCGGGAGCACGAGGACGTGCTTGTGGAAAGAGGGAGGAAGATGTGGCAGTGTGAGCGTCCTGTCACAATGTCCCGATTGATGATGCGCCCTGGCTACATGACCAAGGGGATGTCCCTTTGGCTGACTGGTTAGAGCGTATGACTCTCACCCTAAAGGTCTGGGGATCGAATCCCGCCCGGGCACTCGTTTCTGCACCTTGCCACATTAGTTTTTCCAGTTCGGAAGTTGTTTTAAGTGTTGCTAATTGTCTTAAACGTTCACAATGAGGATATATTAATCCTTTTTGCAATATTTGCGATTGAAAGATGGTTTGTGCCACAAACTTTGTGGTAAGAACTGGCTTTCTTTATGTTACAGCCTTGATACTAAAAAAATAAATAAACAATGTAAAATGGCACCATGTATTGAATGTAAACGTTGTATAAATGGAAATAAACAATTCTCCAGCGATTTAATTTTTTCCCCTTCCTTTCTTTAGTCCACTTGACATGGAGCCACGGTTAACTAGTTTGGGTACATTTTTACTTGAAAAATAGTATTTAAACTGATCAAGCTTTGGCTTTAATGACACTGTGTAGGTTGCTATTCATTACGTTGCTCTATTTAAAAGTAACAAGATAAAAGCACTTCAGCACATAAAATTAAGATTTTCACTTGCCAAATAGAGACTACACCCTCCCGTTTACCTATAAGAAACGCCTCAAAATATCTTTAAATTCTTTATTGATGATTTAATTGTAGACAACTAAAATGGCATTTTACTTGCCAAAAAGTAATTGAATCGCTCAGATTTTCATGGAGGCTAAAATTGACCAAATAAGGGTTTTATGTATTATCTGTTGATGTTACTGTACTCATACTGCCTACTGTGTCATCATAAACACCCCAAAAATGGCAAAAAAAAAAAAAAGAAAAAAAAAAAGATAATTTCCCTTGCCAAAAATTGATTACAGTGTCCTGGTCACGTGTAAAGGGTTAAATTTACCTAAATATTACCTTATTTATTATCTCTTGATGTTATTAGTGCCATCACAGGATGCTGGGTGTCTTCCACATTCATAAACACCCCAAAAATGGCAACAAAAAAAAAAAAGAAAAAAAAAGATAATTTCCCTTGCCAAAAATTGATCACAGAGTCCTGGTCACGTGTAAAGGGTTACATTTACCTAAATATTACTTTATTTATTATTTCTTGATGTTATTAGTGCCATCACAGGATGCTGGGTGTCTTCCACATTCGTAAACACAGAGTCCTGGTCACCCATAAAGGCTTAAATTGGCATAAATATTACTTCATTTATTATGATGCTGGGTGTGTTCCACAATCATATTCGAATAAACGTGAAAATATTCCGTCCGAATATCTGTTTCTTGTTATAAATATAACAGCTAGAAGGATTTACAGTTAAAATAGGAGAAACATTTCAGGAAACTATTGTCAATTAACCACAGAAATAGGGACTAATAACATCAAGAGATAATAAATAAGGCAATATTTAGGTAAATTTAACCCTTTACACGTGACTCCCCAGGAAGGGTCGTAACACCACTTGCCTCATGCACATAAGTGACCAAAACAAAGCAGCATGGAGACACTCCGTCTCCAACCACCTCTCAGGCAGCAGCCTGCACTCCCAAGTTCTACACGTCACCAGAACATAAACAACCGCAACACAATAAAAGCAGTGTTATACAAAGTGGAAGGCCTGTAGTGTTTATTCTCTTACAGTAACAACTTATCAATTTTTTGGAGGAATTTATTTGAGATTTTTTGGTTTTTATTAATTGTGCAATAGAAAAATAATCATCAGATTAATTGTCTAAATAGTCATTAGAATAGTCGACTATTCGATAAAATAATCGTCAGAATAATCATTTTAAAAATAATAATTTACCCCCAACCCTACTTTTTTAGAATACCAGGATAGGAAGGATGGTGTAGGTTTACTTTTATTAGATTGATACATAAATATTACCAATAAGAAAGTGTACGTTGGTGTGTGTCAGAAACAGCGTAAGGCTTAATGTCTTTTCCAAAAAAACCAGGTGATGGGCCGGTCTCCAATCAAAATGCCCGGGCTGAATTTTTGTCCCAGTCCAGCCCTGACTACAAACTAGAAATCGACACGTCGCGTATGTGACATCACCACATAATCTCCTCCCCCCTAGCGTAGCTGCTGCTTACCACATGACCAGATTGATGGTGGTTCTTTCCTCCTGTGGGAAGTTTGCTGAACTTACAGCCCTTCTCCTTCAGTTTATTCCGTGTCTGGTTCGATGACGTCACTTTCGTGAAGTGCATTTGTAGTCCTGGACTTATTTTCACACAAACCTAAACTATGGTTTCCTCCCCCATTCGAAAATAATTGCGTTCTTGGTTCTTTAAAATTCATGGACATCATATGTGAAATCCATGGCACAAAACATGTGAAATTAGAAAATAGCGTTTTTTGCCCCGTTGACTTGCGTTGGTTTTTTCGTTCTTCCGGGACCCGTGATGCAGAAGTGACTTAGGCTCCGTATTAGTGAAGACAGCTAGTGTAGTGAAGATTTTTAGATATTCCCACCATGCTGTCTTTATGCTGCTTCTTTTTGAAACTCAATTTTTTAATTTTAATCGTTATTCTAATTGCTGAAGGACACAATTAAAGCCTACTGCCTTTGTACTGCTTTATTCCTATTCTCTAAGTGTATTTGCTGCCTTGACCAGTGACTTTCCCCACTGTGGGATTAATAAAGTCTATTCTATGTATTTCATACTATGATGAGGCCAACATGCCCCACCCAGCTGATAGCAATAGCTTAGTACATCTGAAGGAAAGAAGCAGCGGAGGCAGGAAAATGCACGGGTGGAGCCATAAAACCACTATGGGGTGTTTTTTTATGAGGAAATAACAATAAAACACGATCAAAAGCTCCACAAAGTGGATTTTGTAGGAATGTTTAACATAGCTTGATCTCTACCACTAACATAGGAGCTGTACTCTGAGATCATCGTGGTCATAGAGATGAGGGGGTCCAACAAGAAGCAGAGGGAAGAGGACACCACTATACCTAACTCCTGTCCTCTCTGTTGAGAAGAGGAGAAAGAGAGAGACACAACAAAGGCTGAGATATGAGGGGTGGGGGGGGCACTTGTGTGGGTGAGAGAAAGATGCTGGACTGAGAAGATAGTCATAAAATGTAAGGAGGTAGAAGGAGGGGGATGGTGGAAAGAGACAGAGCATCACATGGAGAAATGCAGAGGGTGGGGCTTGGCCTGTGTGTGTGTGTTTGGGGGGGTCCACTTCTACATAAAAGGCTTGAGTCATTGCTATACAGTACACACACACACACACACACACACACACACACACACACACACACACACACACACACACACACACACACAATATATATATTAAATCCACAGCACAATATCATAATTTATGCGTCAAATAATACAACCACAAACACTGTTGGATCTTTATTATTATTATTACTATTATTTACTTTTCTGTTATTTATTAACATACTATTTTATACATTTAGTTACTTATTCCATCTTATTCACATGAAGGCGTCATATTTTAGCTACTCACACACACATCTATGGGTGCACTAAAGTTTGTCTCATGGAACGTACATGGAGCTGGCTCCATAGAGAAGAGATTAAAGATTTTAGATCAGCTAAAGAGAGTGCAAGCAGACGTAATATTGTTACAAGAGACTCATAGATCTGCCACATCCGCAGATGAACTTAGAACACCTGAGTTTCCCAGCATGTTCTCTGCTGCTATAACTCTAGGCAAAGAGGTGTAGCTATTTTAATACACAAAAACATCAATTTCACAGTATTGGACACAGTCTCTGATCCAGAGGGTAGATTTATAATGTTAAAAATATCTGTACAGAACCAACGCTTATGTATCGTCAGCATATACTGTCCAAATATTGATGACCCTCCATTCTTTCATAATTTTTTCTCTGTACTCTCCGATGTAGCATCACGCAAGGTCCTCTAATTTGTGGCAAAGGTCACATTTACCCAGCTGGGTCAAGCTGGGTCAAACAGTACTTTTAAATCCACAGATTAACCAAGGAGCCATGATGTCTGGAAGAACATATCACCTATCTGCTGCTGTTCCGTCCCAGGAGAAGGACACTTCAAGTCACGATAATAATTAAATAATAATATTAATAAAACACTTTGATTTTATTACTGTTTAATATAATCATCACCACAGGTGACTGCAAAGCATGGCAGTAGTGGCCGTTTGATTAGAAGCCCCTAAGCAATACTGCTAGACCTGTTGTCTGGGTTTTGTTTTTGTTGTTGCACTGTTGGTGTTACGTTACACGTTGTTATAGTATTGCTTATCTACCCATCTGTGTTTTCTAGGGGGACCAGTTTGGTGAACACATGAATGCACATTCTCACACTAGAAGGGCATGCTCTTATTGTGAAGGAGGCGTCAGAGGAAGTTGGTGGAGTTTTGGTGGTTAACCTACCTGAGGAGAGAAAGAGATCTTTGTATTTTTCGCTCGTTGGAAGTTCGCCATTAAAAAGGTTGAGACTGCAAATACCTTTTCTCGTCTCTTTCTTGTCAACTTCCTCAATAAACAGATTTTTATACATAATGGCGTATGTGATTGGTTGAATACGACTTAATAGTTACGTTAACATCAAAAAATAGTTATTTTGTTAATAATGTGACCAGGTGAGTGCTTCATGCTGCTTACCATCATCCTCTTTGCTGTGGGAGTTCAGGGAACTTTGGAGCATCCTTTCACCTCGACTTGCCGGAGACAAATCTGACACTGCTCCGAGATCAGTTGATATCCACGTGGCCTCGCTCATCACTACCTCCTCTTCGCTCGTCAGTAAAACGTCATCCTGAAGAGAAAAAATCATGACATGACACATCATATATCAAGGAATCCAAGATGGTAGTCTTACTAAGGTATTGTTTGTTTGCCAGTCCCTGACTGTTAAACGTGTTTGTATTTGTCTGATCCTAACCCTGTATAGAGAGGAAATTATCTCTGTCTGACCCCAAAACAATTTTTAATCGGAATCTGGCGCCCTTGAGCCTGCAAGGCTCCAACGAAAACTCCCCCCTCAGAAGATATGTGGAATGTGCCGTCGCTATGGAAACTCAACTCTGTCTCCTTTCCCAGCCTGGGCGGGACAGCGGGAAGGCCGCTGAATTGTTCCAGGGTCACTGCAACCCTCAGTGCTCCTCCCCCTATCCACACTGAGGTGACATGCGCTGCTTATCGTGGCTGCAGGAACTGAAGTGGGGATAGGCCCAACCCACCACCCCACCCAGTGGACACTTATGTTGTGTTGTCTGAAGTCTGTTGCATATATGTTTGAGGTGTTGTTTTTTTTTTTTTTTTGCAGAGCAAAGCTGCCCGCCCGGTGGAGGGTAACTCTCAAGTGCCTTTTTTTTCCCTCCACCTGAACCAATCCTCATGTAACCCTCTGATCTCTATTAAGGTAGCGCGACTCAGGGCTGAGAATGACCACAGTCACCAATTCTTGTCATGTGTCTTGCCCATGTATGTCTGATCTCTGAATTGTGTGTACTGAAACTCTAATTTCCCTCTGGGATTAATTAATAAAGTATCTTTGATTTGATTTGATCTGCTTCACACTCAGCTGCAAACCGCTCCAGCGAAAGCCAAAGATCACGTTCTGATCATGTTAACAGCACCACATCATCTGCAAAAAGCAGAGACCCGATCCTCGGGCCACCAAAATGGAAGCCCTCAACACCTTGGCTTCTCCTACAAATCCTGTCTATAAAGGTTATGAACAGAATTGGTGACAAAAGGCAGCTTTGGCGGAGTCCAACTCTCACAGGGAACGAGCCGGACTTACTGCCGGTAATGCGGACCAAGCTCTGGTACCGGTCCAACAGGGACCTAACAGCCTGTATCGAAGGCCTGGTACCCCGTACTCCTGGAGTACCCCCCACAAGGCTCCCCGAGGGACGCGGTCAAACGCCTTCTTCAAATCTACAAAACACGTGTAGACTGGTTGGGCAAATTCCCACGCACCCTCCAGGACCCCCTAAGGGTATAGAGCTGGTCCAGTGTTCCATGGCCAGGACGAAAACCCCATTGCTACTCCTGAATCTGGGATTCAACAAACGATGGACCCTCCTCTCCAGAACCCCTGAATGGAGTTTGATCCTTTTTCTATAAATTTTAACACTAAGCTTGAAACAAAAGTTCATTTATACTCACTAGGGCTGCTCAATCAACCACATTTAATCACAATTACGATCTGGGTTTTGAACGATTATAAAAACAAGCCGATTATTTGCTCTTCCCTTATGGTTTACTACGAGTTACAAATCACATGTACTGTACATCCCAATAGCGTTGTCAATTTAGCAACTTTGTGACTATTCTTAACAACTTCTCAGACTCAATTCTTGACTTATTTTTTCTAAAAGCACCTAGCGAACAACCTAGAAACATTTCTGGGAACACTACTGTCATCGATATTTAGCAAAACACTCAGCCTGCGCTCTGGATCGTCCTTCCAGACAATAGGAAAGGGAATGATGTAGTGATGTGTGGTGGTGGTCGGAGCAACCGGTGGCGCAGATGCTCGGCAGCCTCGCCTCTGTCAGTGCGCCCCAGGGCAGCTGTGGCTACATCGTAGCTCAGCCCCACCAGGGTGTGAATGTGTTTGTGAATGGGTGAATGACTGATTGTGTTGTAAAGCACCTTGGGGGGTTCCAGGACTCTAGAAGTTGCTATATAAAATACAGGCCATTTTACCATGTGTCAATCGCAAAGGAGATGGCTCTCAGGCCTACCTTCCAAGCTGCAAAAATGGCAGAATGTGCACAGAATGTGTATTGTGGCAGTTTCCATGTCAAGTGGACGGGCAGAGCAGACTGCTAAAAGTAAGCACCCAGCAAGAGCAAGGACACTGACTCCAGGGATTACAGTGAACCCCTACTCATGGTGCAGACTAGAAAACAACCAAAAATAGCAAAGACAGAACAGTTAACAAAAGACTAAGAACATCCACACAACCTTATAAATAAAACCTTACAAAACACACCACAATAGAACAAAACAACTGACAACCCATTACCTACAATGCACCATGCCCACTGCCTGTTATACAATTGGCAGGTTCACTAGGCGGTCCCAACCTTGGTCCTATAGCCAAGAGAGGGCATCGGCAATGGCATGTTGGCAGCCCGGACAATGTCAGATCTCTAAATCATACTCCTGTGGGATCTCCAACCATCCAGCCACCTGTCCCTCCAGTTGCATAAAGTTCAACAACCAAGTAAGTAGGGATGTTGAAAAAAAATTGATTTGTATCCGAATCTCGATTCCTATTTAACAAGATTCTGAATCAATCCCAAATGTTTACGTTTCGATTATAAAAAAATACATGTTTTCTGAACCTTTCTAAGTTTTCGCTCAGCGTTGTGTTGGTCATGCAAAGGCCTCCGTCCCTTTGTTTCAGCAAGGGGCGTGTCTGACGCGCTATCAACAGACTAGCTTTAGCTAGCAGCCTGATGCTTCAGCATGGAGGAGGAAAGACAAATACGGCCAGCCCCGTCTTCACTGAAGGCAAATGTTTGGGCGCACTTTGGTTTTTACACTTTCCTGGATAAAAAGGAGCTTGACATGGCGTATTCAGTGAGCAAAATTTGCTAAATGAAAGTCAAGTACTTCGGGAATACTTCAAATGCCCGAGCCCACCTCTTACACCATCGCCCGGAGTTAAAAGAAGCGGAGCAGCCGCTGCCGCCTCAAACCCCTGGCCAGCGCACACTGCATCACTTTGCTAAGCTTCCTGCCAACTCCGAACGAGCTAAATGGATAAGTAAAGCTATCGCTTGTTTCATTTCAAAAGACCTTCGCCCCTACAGCTTTGTTGAAAACGAAGGCTTTAGATTCGTGCTGCGCACCACTGAGCCCAAGTATGTGATACCGTCGCATCAGTTTTTCACAGAGAAAGCCATTCCACAACTTCACGAAGAGACTAAAGCTAAACTGCCAGAAGCCTTGGCTAAAGCCCACAGAGTGGCGCTAACCTGTGATGCGTGGACTTCCAGAGCAACCCACTCCTTCGTTACGTTCACGGCTCACTACATCACAGACACCTGGCAGATCGAGTCGCGTGTTACAAACACGAGTGATGCATGAAAGCCACACTGCAGCTAACGTGAATGAGGTGGTCCACGCTGTAGCAGATGAATGGAACCGACAAATCAGGGATGTAGTTACAGGTAACGCTGCGAACATGCTGGCTGCTGTGCAGCTCGATAATTTAACACACAGCAAGTGTTTTGCACACACTTTAAACCTGGCTGCTCATCGAGCATTGAAGCTTAACCATGTGTCACGACTCCTTGGGAGAATAAGGCGAACCACTGGGTTTTTCCACCGAAGCCCCATTGCAAGTCATGCACTGCAAGAGAAGCAGAACCTTCTGCAGCTGCCAGCACACAAACTGAAGACTGACGTAACAACGAGATGGAACAGCGCTTACGAGATGGTCAAAAGATATTTAGAGCAACAGCCTGCAATCTGTGCTGCTCTCCTCTCTCCTCACGTGAGAAAAAGTGGAAGTTCAGGAGACACCTGCACACTCAGTGAAACCGACATCTCCAACGCTGAGGAAAGGGCCAAAGCACTGAAACCTTTAAAGGATGCAACAAACATCATGTCAGAGGACTCTTGCCCCACACTCCCAGTGACCGCTCCACTGCATGCTCAGCTGCTTCAGGACACCGAAGCAGCTTCTGCTGCGGATGAGGCACCACTCGTGCAGGAAATAAAAAGGACCCTCCATGAAGATCTTTCAAAGAGATACACAAGTTTCCAGAGCAAGAACATTCTCCTCACTGCATCCACACTGGATCCCAGGTTCAAAGCCCTCCTTTTCCTCAGCAGAGAGGAACAACTGGATGTCCATGCCAGAGTGACTGCAGAGGCTGCAGCTCTTGAGGTAAAAATGACATGTTTATAAATTATTTTTTACATGTGGACTTGAACATGTAAATTATGAAATTTAAAGTGGTTTCTGATATGGCTTATCTGCAGAAAGAGGTAGAGCCCTGCACTGAAGCCCTAGGCCCTCGGGTCGGCCCGGCCCGAGGGCCGTCGGGCCGGGCTTCGGGCCAACGACTGTGTAATTACCTCGGACACGGGCCGGGCCGGGCGCCTTTATTTTTAATCGAATTCATTAAAAAAATTGAAACACCAACGCAGCAGTAGAGCCCTGCGCGGGACTGTTTTCTTCATCCCGCTTCTGCTGAATTTCTGACCATTACCGCCTGCAACTGCAGCGTGTGTGTTACACTCCCGCCCGCACCTGCAGCGTGCATGTCTACTCCCGCCCACAACCGCAAAACTCGGAGAAATTATTACCTCACAATAAAAGAGATGTATTGAGTTTGCGTCCTCTCTGGTCCTGGAGAAAACATGTCACAACCCGCGGCTCTTCCATCCATCTGATGCGGCTCTCTGTGCTTGTAAAATAATGAATGGATATTTAAATTAAATGCTTTATATTTTACTGAATTAATTTTATATCTGTAAGGCAATTCTATGTAAAGATTGTCTGCGTAAACCTGAACAGGCCCAACCCGGTCTTACTGTGAGACCGGGTTGACGCGTCACGCTTGTACGTAATCATATCGGCGCTTTATGAGCTGACGAGGATGTGAGATTCTGGGATTCTCCTCAGGCGGCTCCTGGATGCGTCGCCACATTGGAGACAGGAACAAGCGCTATTCAGCCAAAGTTTCATAATCAGGGAACATTTTCTAAGTGACAAGTCTCTCTGAGCGGCAGGGTTTGGAAAACACTCGCTTCAGTCGGAGGAACCTTCCCGCATGCGCTCTGGTT